TCAATCCTGTTTGAAAAATTAACAAGTCAAAGATCTGAAGATTAGACTAACTCTCCTGTGATTAGAAATTTGGCTCCAGGGCTTAATATGAGATTTCATCACCAAGTACGTAGGAAGATAATGAGTCTGGCAGTAGTATCAAAAGAAGTACACTGAGAAAGAATGCTGGAAATCTTGTTAGGTTTTAAATTATAGAAGCAGTAGAAATATCAAAAATATCAAACACAACAGGAAGCCAGGAATAATCATCAAGTTGTCCAGCCATATTACCCTCTGAGGGGTATTTCCACTACAAATATATTAGCTGAGAAAATGAGAACAGAGAGCTCAAATGGAAGCCATAGGTTATCAACAGTGCTCTGGCCATGAATGGTTAAGACCTAAGTGCCTCTAGCCCCTCTCAAACATCTCTTGCGACTGTGAGAATATTCGTCCACTTCTTATCTCTGGGCCTTGGTATCCTCATCTTTAAATGAAAGGGGTTGACCAAATGGTCTCCCATATCTAGAATACTGTTTCATTTCAAACTCATTTGCACGATTGGTAAATTGCTGAGACAAGGGTTAGTTTGTCTTGCAACTTGCGGCGTTGGCCAAGTCAAGAAGAGAGGGGCCTCAAAACCCTGCCATGAAAAGCTAATTCTAAAACATCCTACAAAGATTGAATCCTTCTTCCTCTGATAATCTTCCAGTCTCACTCTCATCCCCAAAAGCCTTGATGAAAATCGCCTTCCTTCTCTTTATTTCCAAAAAGCAGATTTGTTAATAATAATATCAATGATAATAATAATGGCTTATAATTATTTTGCTATCACTCCCTGCTAAGTCCTGTGCTATCTTATATTTTACATTCTTTTCCTCATTTTAAATATGAAGAAAGTTAAGTTTGAAGAGATAAATGACCTAAGGTCACACAATTAGAAACAACAGGATATTTCTGGATAAGACTGAGCAGCCTATTTATGACATGAATTATTGAGTAAATATTTGAGCAATGTAACTTCCCTATCAGAAGTTCACTAGCTTATTTGTTTATTCATGTGTAATAAGAATGAAGACCCTCAGAAACCATCAGAATTTAAGGTACAAGACAGTTGAGCCAGTTAATGCTACAAAGACAGAGGTTTATAAGGCTGCAAAATAGGTAAGATGCAAAACTATAGGTAGAATTTTAAAATCTCTGAAAGCTAGTGATAGAAAACAAAATTAAAGGCAAAGATATGTTTTAATTCTCTAGTTCTAAAGCAATTAAAGTACATTTAGAAAATAAACAATTATTGGGACCAGCAAATGGTATAATGGTTATATAACTGGACTCCCACATAGTCAACTGTGGTTCAACTCCTGAACCCAGCAAATTAAAACTCACACAGGGCATGTGTGTACGTATTTCCAAAATCTCCAGAGAATGAAGGAGAAGGGATTGTAGCATGGCCATCCCCCTGGGGGGTGATTTCTCACTTTCTCTCTGTCTCTCAGGTGAGTGCACAAACCAATAGCAAAAATCTCTCAAAAAAATGAACAATTATTTAACAAGTAATAAGAAATCAAGATATTCAATTAGTAATTCTCATTTATGCAAATGTTTGGAAAACTGACTATACAAGTAAAATAAAGTAGGTATTAAATCATTAAACCAAGATTCTTCAACCATGGCTTTAAAAATGAGTATAAAAAAATGACTTGGGGTGGGGAAAACCAGGGTATAGCCATAACATGACTCTCTGAAATGCAAAACCAACATGGGAAGGTCATGTGTTTACATCCTGGAGCCTCCCTGTACACACCGGCAATGTATACATGTTACTTGGACACCAGCGGACTGAGAATGGGGTTGGATAGTGGTATGAAGATCCTGTTTCTTGCTATAGGAATCTGTGTGTGTCTTCCTCTCTTTGTTTCTGACTCTGCCATAGAAAAAATAAATAGATAAAATCTAAAAAATATATAACTGGGAAAGTTTGTTCAGAATGTAGTTTCCAAGACCATCTCCAGAGATTATGGTTTGGAAAGTACATCCCCAGGTTTAAGTGGGTAACCCAGGATATTCTGATAGAAATTATCCATGAACCACACATTGACAAGCCCTATATCTGAAAATTAAAAAAAAAAAAAAAATTAAAGAGAAAATACACATGAAAGAAAGTACAGTGGATTATTCTAATCTAATTTATATTGCTTTATAATTGGCCAGATGACACATTGTCATTGCCTTCGAATACCACAATGCAACTAGATAGTACTATGACTATTATTTCCCTTTAGAAATGAGGAAATTAAGATTACACAGATTGGGAACCAGCAGTTAGCGTAATGGCTATGTTGCTGGACTCCCACATAGTCGACCGCGGTTCGCGTCCCGGACCCGGTGGCTTAAAACTCACGCCGGGCACGTGTGCGTGCGTGCCCAAGTTCCCAAGAGGCGAATGGAAAAGGGATTGCGGCGTGACTATGCCCTCTAGGGGATGATTTCTCGCTTTCTGTCTCTCTGTCTCTCTCTGTCTGTCTGGCAAGCGCACGCGCCCTATAGTGAAAAAATCTCCAAAAAACAAAAAAAGAAAAGAAAAGATTATACAGATTAAGAGGGTTGGCCCAACATAAACCTTCAGACATCAATCACAAATTTTTAATGTTTTAAATGTGTTTAATGTTTTAAACATAAATTTTGTGTTTTTTTTTTTCTTATCATCCTTACATTAAAGAGAATTTGGGGGAACCAACACTTAGCATAATGGCTATGTCACTGGACTTCCACGTAGTCAACTGTGGTTCGGGTCCCGGACCCAGTGGCTTAAAACCCACGCCGGACGCATGTGTGTGCATGTCCAAGATCCCGAGAGGAGAATGGAGGAGAAGGGATCGTGGCGTGGCCATCCCCTCTAGGGGGTGATTTCTCGCTTTCTGTCTCTCTGTCTCTCTCTGTCTGGTGAGCACATGTGCCCTATAACAAAAACCTCTTAAAAAAAATCTGACTAATCTCAGTTTTCCTTTTTGTTTCAAGTTTATTTATTTTCTCCATGAAAGTGGGGTGGGGTACAAGAAAGACAAAGACAGGCATCTCCAGCTGGGTCTGGGGTACAAGAAAGACAAAGACAGGCATCTCCAGCTGGGTCCCCACATCCCACAGCCTCAGCCCTCCCAGACTGCAGGCATGTGTGTGTATGTCTGGCATGCACAGGAGGCCTTTTGACACAGACCTGTGGGTCCAGCCAGGCAGAGCGCTGCCACTGCTACATTACCAGCTGGTCTTGTTTTTTCCTTTTTTTAAGGTAGAGGTAATCAATGATTTTCATGTTGACAGGCGTGAGACATACCCTCCTAGAGGTATGCATCAGAATTTCTAGTGGAGAAAGAAGGAGCATGTGTAATTTGAATTAAAACTTATGAGACAAACTCCTGAGAATTCAACAAAATCTTCTAAGCCCATGGATACTGAAGGAAAATGAGAGAAAGCATTAAAGTTTACACGGGTTAAAAATGATTTTGAGGATTACCAAAATCTTATGTTTTTTTAATTTTTTTAGAGTTTTTTTGTTTTGTTTTGTTTTGTGTTTTTTGCTATAGGATGCATGCAGAAAGACAGAGAGAGGCAGAAAGTGAGAAATCATCCCCCAGGGGGGATGGCCATGCCATAATCCCTTTTCCTCCATTCTCCTCTCAGGATCTTGGGCATGCATGCACACATACCTGTCACGAGTTTAAGCCACCGGGTCTAGGACTCGAACTGCGGTCGACGACATGGGAGTCCAGCGACATAGCAATTATGCCAACTGCTGGTCCCAAGAATTATCAACATCTTAATTTTCTTATTTACTCTTTATTGTTGCTAAAATACAAAAGTTTTACTGTCCTATTTTGACATTGTATGACATTGTCATACAAAATGTCAACAGAGACAAAAACACATTTAGCAATTATGTCTGAGTTTTTGCAATTGAAATTTAAGAACTAACTACTAATCAAAACAACATTCTTAGGAAGTCTTCCAAATTAATTTGTATTGTGAAACATGACATTAAAATGGTTATAAATTATGATATTATAATGACTTACAAGGTTAAGAGCTTAGACTTCCCATTTCTCTGACTTTCACAATAAAAGTACTGCTATCATACATTGCACAAACATAAAGTCTTCCAAGTGAGTAATATATAAATAATAACTTCTATATTACTATCATTTACATTCTATATATGAATATAAAATTCAAACATTTCCAGAATTTATTATTAGCTCCAAAATTCTATTGATAACATAATATATAGTAAATTTCAGTTGATATATTAAGGCTATTCAAGTACGCTTTCAACCATTTTTTAAAGAAACATTCAAAATATAAAGAAAATAATCTGCTTTCAGATTTCTGCTACAGGAAACTATTCACCTTGAATTTTAAATTTGCTGCTGTTTTTATTGGTACAAAGTATTACAAGCAGTTCCACTTTATCGCTATAAAGTAGTATAGTAGTATTACAGTAATAAAATTAGTAAACTTAAACTAATAAACCAGGAGAATAAAGTTCTACTTTTATTTTTGTTTTTGTTATACTAAACAAGAAAGAAAATCTGTTGTAGTATGTGGTTCCTTTGCTTTACAATTGGTAATTTACTTATGTAAGATTTTTCTCAAAACCAGGGCTATTTAACAAATCTAGCAGAAATAAATCATGTACAAAGTCATATTTTCAAATACTGAATTAATGCTTCCAATATTGAACTACTCTATTTCTTAAGTATTTTTATTTATTCTCTGTATATTTTTAAAAAAGATGTTCTAAATAAATACAGAACTTTCCATTTATAAGTCATACATATACACACACGTTTACACACAAACGCTTTTCATAGGGATTTAACTTGGTGTAGTGAATACTCATAATCACAGCATACGTTTTCATACTACGATGTCACAGCATTCTTTATCCCAGAATACAGACTATTCTGGTGACTATGTGTGCACTCTCAAAAGAATGTAAGCTCAATTATTAATAAGTATCTTACCAGATCTTGCCCAGCATATCAAACAGAGAAAAATGTATACTCTCATTTGGAATCTGATGAAAGTAAAAGAAGTACTCCGATTTCCAAAAATAGAAATTTCCAAATTCATTCAAGTCTCCCTTTGGTAGGCTTGTCACAGTCTGGCAGGTTTTACTGTGAAAGCTCCCTGCCTTGCTCCTCCCTCTTTGTTGAGAAAGGTGAAGTCATTTGTGTTCGCCCATTTGACTGTGGTTGTGAGAAAGATTTTTAAGGTAGAGACTCTGTAATAAGTCACAAACAAACCATCAGCTATACAAGTTGAATTGAAGGGAATGAAAAAGCTAATTATATCTTTTTTCCTTTTAACCTCAGGGCTTCAGAAGTGGTCAGTAAGAATATGTGTGTTGAAAGCCCAAAGTAAATGTGATGCTAGAGTGTGCCAGAAATGGAAAGAGTCAGAAAAAGTTGCGGTTCATGTTTATTTTGATGACAAACTAAGTTGTCATCATGCACCATAAAATCACTAATGAAACCCATGTCCATCAAACCATCAAGTGTAAGAGACGGGCTTTCTGTGTTTATGTGTTTATGCCATTTTGAATTCCGAACAAAGGAGCTATTTTAAAAATCAAAATGCTGGCCTGTCTCTTGATGCTAAAATTTGAAAGTCAAAATATTTTTTTGTGTTTAATATGACAACTATTCTTAAATTATTATAGGGTTTTTTTGTATATGTTTACTTAATTCTTCTCTTATTTTCCTGACAGCACTATTCTTCAGTAAGCAAGGAAAATTGGGAGTTATTTTAAGACCATGCATCACTTTTCAAAAATTAAATTTGGTTTGAGAAAATTCAAGTCTCTATAAAGTGCCAATGACACAGTAAAAACAGAAGTGTTTGATTTACATCAAAATCAGCGTAATCAAATCTGAGGTATGGGAGGTGTTTCAGAAGATCTGCAAACAAACTGGCCACTCCATAACTTGTCGGTTAAGGCAGCCAGATCCCACATGGTCCACATGAAGTTCTGAGTTCCCAAATTCAGTGGCTGAAGAAACACGTTGGACATATGTGTGAGCATACGAGCATGCCCAAAATCATGCAAGGAGAGAGAAATGAAGGAGGGGGGATTGTCGCATGACCATAACCCTTGGGGTACTTTTTCTTTCTGTCTCTCTGGCAAGTGTGTGTGCCTTCTAGCACACACACACACACACACACACACACACTTGAAAGTATAAAAAAAGTTTATGTTTAATAAGCTAAAAGGTAAGTCTTTCCTATTAAACTAACTGCTTCCCTTTTCTAGTACTTTGGATGTGACACTGTAATAAGACTATGCACACTACTTTCATCTTTACCATTCTAATGAGCTTATATTGGAAAATATGAACTTGGCATTGCAGACAGTAGATAATAGAGTTTCAAAGTATTAAATTATATTTTTTCATTATCTCATATTTTCTTTATTGGGGTTGTCAATGTCCATAGCATTAAATAGCAAAATATTGGAAGATAACAAATTATATAAAATGTCAATTGCTTAGTAAGTTTATTTATAGACTATGAAGTCCTCTTCATATATGAAAATTGATTGTAAACAGCTTATAGACACGCTTCCAACGTAAACAATAACCTAAGGTGATAATGATGATGATACAACATTGATTAAGCCCTATGCACCAGACATATTTCTAAGCACTTTATAATTATAAAGCTAATTATAAATGGTATTTGAGTACTCTTTATTGAGATAGTAGACTCATTATTTATCAGTAAAGCTTACCACCATTTTTTATTTAGTGGAGCATTGTGTCTAAAATGTTTAATAATCTTCCCCTCTGGTTCAGCAATTAAATATTCAAGTTACTTTCCTACAGAAATACTAACACAAATGTAAAACTATATATGAGCAAGGACATTTATCTTAGAACTCTCACAATAGCCAAAACATGGAAACAATGGGGGATTAGTCTTATTATATTCATATTATGGATTAAAATGAATGATGTAAATGGAGAATCATTTATTAGAGTAATAATTACAGTATTTAGGGAGAAATACTAATAACAGTATGTATAGTACATTTTGTAAAATGTGGCATATGAATATATGCATAGAGTGAAGTCCAGAAAATTTTCCTCCAAAATCTTTATCTTTGCATGGTAGATTTACCAGTGACTTTTTGCCTTTTTACTTACTTTTTTTAAATTATTGAGACAACTCCATGGCTCCTGCAATCTAGCCATTTTGGGGGAAATGGAGAAATGAAGAGGTCCCACTGATAATTCGGCCTCCAGCATACAAAACTCACATGACTGAACTTCCAAGTTTGGGAAGAAACTGACCATCCACCAGATGACTAGAAATCGCTGCAGGACCACAAGAAATATGGGAAGCAGGAAAATACCTGTCCTCCAAGAGAAAAGGAAAACTCCTCTTCATCTACACACAGTTAATGGAAATCATGGAAATGTCTGATAAAGAATTCAGAACATTCTTAATGGCAAAGCTTACAGAGGTGGAAGAGAGACAAGGAACTGCTGAAGAGGAAGGATAAAGGAGTTGAAGAGTTCCAGGAGGTGAGGAAATTCATGCAAGATCTAAAAGAGGAATTTCACACATTACAAAAGACTCAGATGGAACTGTTAGAGATGAAGGCTATAATACAAGAAGTCAAAATTTCCCTTGAAAATATTAAAAGCAGACTAAATCATACAGAAAATAGAATCTCAGATGTAGAAGAGAAAATTGCTGGCCTAGAAAAATCCATCACGAAGACTGAGAAAATGGCCCCAAAATTTGAGAATAATATACGAGAAATACTAGATACAATTAAACATCCGAACATCCGGATAATAGGCATCCCAGAAGGCAAAGAAAGTCATAAGGGCATTGATAATCTATTCCATGAAATCCTACAAGAAAACTTTCCAAACCTGGAGAGGCACTCAAAGAT